AGCTAATATTCGTGAACAATTTCCATTCACAAGTTAAATTCAAAACGTTTATATAATGTCAATAGTATGGCGACGTTATTTTCTGGTTAGGTTGGTGATTAATGCTAAAAGCTAAAGAATTATTGTAAATATGGTTTAGAATTTAAACAACTGCGTATCTCGTGCGAATGGAGGAGCTCATATTTTACACCCTATTAACCTCTCTTTACACAATACTTTATATTTAAGTAATATTATTATACCTTAAATAATAGACATATACCACACATTGCACAAACTTTGGTATATAATATAGTTAAATCACTATTTAAACATAATTTATTATATTTTTTTCCAGTGGTATCCTATATATGATATATATGTTCCGAATATTTCTCAACATACAAACTTAATTGTTGTATGCCGTCATTTTTTATCGACAATAATTTATGTAAAAATACATATTAAATTATAATTAATCAAAAATAATTTAAAAAATATTTAAAATAAGATATAAATTAATACTATTCAAATGAGCTTAATATCTAATAGAGTGGTAACATTAAAGGGGTTTGATATTATATAGAACAATATTTGTTTTAAACGGCCCATATAACGTCGGCCTATTACATTATCTTATACTAATCCCATTAAAAATGGAATTTTATTAGCTCAAGACTGAATTTCCATCAATCATAAAAGAAGATTCAACGGTTGATTTGAGAGTTAGTATAAAATCCAACGAAATCGGAACTATCGGGCAAGAGCTTGCTCTCCTAATTTCGCCGCAAACATTTTTTTTTTTCGTTCATCTTCTTTCATTTTTTTTTTGGTCGAAGTTTATTGTTTTTTTACTGAACTTGAAAATTAATTTCTCTTTTAGGTTTGTTAGATAGATTTATTATATAAATTTTGTTCAAATACATGTATTTTATCATATCAATCTTAGGTTGTTCTTCACATTTTTTCTTAAACCTCCTCGAATGAAGATTAGAATTCATTTTGAATCTTTAAGTTTTTGATCGATTTTGTATTATTGTTTAACGATTATTATGATTCTTAAAAAAGAATCATTCGTTTCTTTGCCCGAAAATAAAATTTTGTTATTATCTTTTAGTTTTTTTTTATATGTTAGGGATTTTTATTATTGCTTTATTGGGTTTTTAAGATTCTTCAATATTAGTTTTTTTTTGTTGGATTTAGGATTTTTTTGTTCGATTTGGTTGGATTTTTTTTGTTAAAAATCTGTTGTTCGATTTGAAATCTCTCAACAATTTCGATTTTCCAGTTTTAATTAACAAATTTTTGTAAGATTTTTTTATACGAATTGCTTGGATTTTTTTGTTAAAAATCTGTTGCAGATTTGAATTTTTTTTTTCAAAAAATTCACGTGTAAAGCAGCGATTTTTGGGCGTAGTAACAACTCATATGGATTGGATTTTAGTTAATGTTGTCCGTGAAAAAAAAAATGATGTTGTCATAAATAGAAAATATTTAATGAAGAAAGAGGTTTGACCAAAAATTTAATTATCATTTTGGAAAATTGGTAAATATGTTTATATATAAATATATATAGATTTGGAAGGACAAAATAATCTGTGAAAATATAAAAAGGAAATTGAGGCCCTTTGCAACTTTTAGACTAACAAAAACAGTATTTAATTCCGAAACATATAAAATTAGGAAATCATATTTTTCTCTATGTTGTTTTAATTTTCAAAATTTCATGCACATCATAATATGTTTTTAGAATTGCAAAAATTGTAACATTACTTTGAGGTGTTATTAGGTGTTCAAGAGAGAAAGATCATATACTTCTAATTATTTGCCACAAGAATATAACATTAAATCATTTTTATTTGGACAAAAAATTATAATAAATGTGGACATGTGGTTGCTTGCTTTTCTTTTCACATTTAATTACTTGTACTATTTTATTTATTATTTTTTATAATAATATGAGGTGTTCAGTCGGACTATCACTTGGTGAAGACAATGACAAACGTGTTGATGGATCTTTCATCACTTTGAAAAAACAAATGGTTAAAATGTTTTGTTAGACCTCTTAAATATGCATTGTCCACATTTCACATTTTTATACCACATTGCTTAGAAGACAAAACACAGTTGATTTCTTTTTCTTTGACGATTTAGCTGGTCAACAAGTCAAATCAGCTATAAAGTGATCAAACAGCCAAAAGTTTGCTAAAAAGCCAATTACCAAACAAGCCAAATCAGCTATAAAGTGATTAAACAGCCAAAAGTTTGCTGAAAAGTCAATTACCAAACGCAACTTATATCTCATAATAACAATTCATTATGTAATAAGACAATCACATCAACATCAAGATTCAAGCATCAGTTCTCATCTCACACGACCCAAACCCTGGAATTCATTCTTGCCCCTCCATACAATACTTCTACATTATTTTCCGAAATAATGTATGTCGCATAATGTATGTCAATCTTATTAATACTCGGGGGTGGATAGGAGAGCTATAATATTTTTCAATATGATTGGATCAAATAACTGATTATAATTTCATCACTTAGTTGATTTCATTGTTCACATGATTTTTTATTGCAATAATTTTGTGTTCTAACAATTATTAAAATAGCATGTAAAGCCACGATAAATTTATTAAAGATACAACAAATAAATAAGATTTGCAATGAGAAAATTTTAATATGAAAGGAGAAAAGAAAAACCCTACCTAATAACAACTCTTTTGTAAATTATTTTTGTAAAACTACTTAGTTTATACTTATTTTCTAAAATTTATGTTATAAAAATATAAAATTCGAAGTGGGGCCTATCTGGAGGGGTTTCGGATCCGCTCCTGAATTTAAACATAATTATAAGTTATTTAGAGCACCCACAATGCATTGAGTCTCTTAATAAAATATCCTATGCCACATAGAAAATAGACTTAGTTTATTAAAAAATGTCTTCTAATGCAATTAAAGGTGGACATGGTCTAACTTATGTGGCAATAAAAAAAAAGAGACACAATCCACACTTGGGTCTATTTTGAACCCAAGTACAAAACTCAAACACTCATCATTTATTCCTCATTTAAATTTTCTTTTTTAATAAATGAAACATATTAGAGCATTTTTATTGGTTGACACTTAGCACGTATGCTAGACCTAGTAATTTTTTTATTTTTTTTTTTTGCATTGAATAACTTTTGAATTTTTTTACTTGGGTTTGTCCATGTCATTTAGGAATTAAGTCTATTTATATGCCACATATATAAAATTAAACTCAATGCATTGTGGATGCTCTTAGGTATCAAGAACAATAGAATATTAGATTCTTCGCCAAAAGCTTCAATTTTTAATAGATAAAAATAAAATTTCTAAATAAAGTAATAATATTTGGCAGGGGAAATTATTAATATTCCAATTCATAGGCTTCTTCCTCTTTAGTATATTTTAGTAATATATAGATATAGATGATTTTGTAGCCTACCCTATGGATCCAGATAAACGATTTCGGCAAATGTGGACGCACGTCGAAAGCGAAGCAATTCCTTGACCAACTCCCACCCGCTATCAATCGATCCCGGCTTAACTGTCATCTTCTCGAGCACGGGCGCATTTGCAAGCATGAAACTGATAAAATCCAACTCTTGTCGTGTGCCAAATATTCCAATAATCTTGATAATCCGAAGCCTATTGAAAGGAAAGCTATGGTAATTATCCGCGATGTTTGCATTCGTTCCAACACTAGCCTGTTCCTCCGCACGAGCCTGTCGAGATATTCGTTTTAATCAATGGGATCTCACAAAACTTTATTCTTGATATTCAGACTAAACAGTTTGGTATAGAACTTCAGGAAATCCAACTTTATTCATTCAGAAGCACAAAACACACCAAACTAACAACATTTTAGAGGGTGTGAGAGATAAAGATTTGTCGAACGAAAAACGTACCAAAACCTCAAGTTCGTGAAGGTTGGGAGAACTTCTCAGGAGGCAAAGAGCAGCAAGATTCTCTTCCATGTCGTTGAAATTAATACGAAGGGAAAGAAAACTAAGATCGGCACATGGTTTTGGTAGCTTTCCCGGTATAGCTCCAGCAGCCAAATACTGAGGAGGAAAAAAAAAATGGAAGTTGCATAGAACTTTGATTAGTGTTATTCTTTAATGTTAAAATGTAATTATATGCACTAGCATTCGATCTTGTGCACATATATAAATAACGTATTATAAGTTATTTATATGAATATAATATTAAAATTATAAGTTAGATAATGGTATTAAGTTTTAAACATAGAGCATTATAAATTATAATTTATATTTATGCATATAATATTAAAACTTTAAGTTAGATTAATATTATGTTTTAAAATTTCATCATTGGTTAAAATAAAAAGTACGTAACTATTTGATTGCATAAAATGTAATAAATAATGTAATCCTTGTAATTGAGAGATCATGACCAATTAATTTGCTGAAGAAAATTAAAGTTATTATAACAATTGTTTATGCAATTTTAAGGTATTTTACTATGATATTAAAACATATTAATTTATTTAAGAACAATCGCCATCGCTATAATATTGATTCTAGTTCTAGAATAAATAACTTGAATAAAAGAATTTTACAATATAATTTGTTATGTTTATGTAACTTTTATATATCATTTAGTGTAAAATATAATTATTAACTCTAATAATTACTATTATACGATACAATAAAAAAATATAATTGTTACTCAATTAATATAAAATGAAACGGTTTTTGCTTTAATTAAAAAACAGTTTTTTTGAAAGTTAGGTGCCACGTAGGTAAAATTTATGACATAAAATTTATGAGGTTTAATTTAATGAATTACTAGCAATTATATACTTATAGAAATGTCTGTGCATGTAAATTGATAATGTAGCTTTTTTTAGAGTTTTTTTCGAGTTTTTCATTATCATACCTTCAGAAAAAAGCTTTGCACCTCAAGCCTTTGAATGTGGGGTAGACAGGCAAAAAACTTGATCAGATTCCCGGAGCTGCCGAACGCCACTTTCCGTTCGACTCCGGTTTTTGCATATAAACCGATGGAGACAACAGACAAATTGAAAGTATCCTGGAAACTAACTTCTTCAAAAACACCCCCGACATCAAAGAAAAGCAGATTGGGCGCTCGTATGTTCAGAAGGGCAAAACCGTCAAAGTTCATCAGAGTCAATCGCTCGAGCAGAGGGCAACTTAAAACCATGTGCTCGAACGCCACCTGGTCCATGGTGATATGCTGCAAGTCGAGGCTCTTCAAATTTCTAAAGCCGTTGAAAGTAAGAGGCGGTTTCAAGAGGCAGTTAAAGAGCTCCAAATGGATCAGATTTTGACATGAGTATATCGAAGAAGGAAGCTTGTACCGATGGCCTTTCCAAATCTCGAGTATTAGTTCTTTTACAGAACCTCTCGAAAGGAATAGGATCCACCTGTCGATATCACTAACGCCTTGAAGGTCTCGAATTGAAAGCTTGAACTTTTCTTTGGGGCCCGTGTGGAGTAAAAGGACGTGGTCAACTATGCTGACTAGTTTGTTTTTCACGAGATTCGAGTCGTGAGTTGAGATTAGGGCAGGTTGATTATCGAACACGAGGGAAGGGAGGGTGACCCATTTGTATCTCCACTTTTTTGACAAAACGCTCGTACGGACAGCGTCTCGGATTGGTAAATGGGAGAGGATTTTGTCTATGATATGGCCCGGTAGGTTGCTAATTCTGTCTACATCGATTTTCAAGTTGCAAGGCACTTCGGGTGGTTCTCGGTGCTTCTGTGAAAATTAAGAAACGAAGAAAAATGCAAGTTGAAGCTCGAAAAGACGAAAACTAAATCTTAAAATAAAAATAATGTTGAAAAAAAAAGGCTCGAAAACTCTAAGAAACTAAATATATCTAAAATCTAAGGAACATGCAATACGAAAATGGAGAATGAACAATGCAGGAGTGAAGAACAGAAAACAATAATTAAAGAATCTAAAAGACCATAACAATGAAAAACATTATGAAAAACTGCAAACTAAAAAAAAAAA